TGACAAAGGCTGTCAAACTTAGATAAGTTTGCGGTGACACCATGTGAATAAATCTCTTTTGTGAGTATGTGTGGTTCTGAAAAGAACCACAGAACGACACATACTCACAAAAGATATTTTTTCACATGGTGTCACCGCAAACTTATCTGGTCTTAGTATCTTCCCACCATGCAAACCTTCAAATCTCAGCTGTCAAGCTTGTTCCACAAACGAGCTTGTTCCCGCTACCGCACACCGTCGCGCAGAAAGAGAAAACAGTTTTGTAGGGTCTCGTAAGTGGATTCCGTTGCTTACGCACGTACAGAGTATGCCCGCCGCCACACTTGTTTCACTACCTTATTTTCCCGATATCAACCATTTCTGGCGGACTAATTTCACAGCATATTTCACTTTTGAGCAAGGTTTTCTCATTAATTAAGTCATGATTGGTGGGTTTCCGGATATTTAGCAATATTCCTACGTGCCTCTTTGATCAACCGTGGCCGCTTAAGTCCTCACGACTGTGTGGAAAAAAGTGGCGTTCCCAAAATTAAAAAGTAATTTGTATTCCACTCGAAAGGGAGAGAATGCCAATAAGCATTAGCTGAAAACAAACTACGACGTGTTTAACCATAATTCATTAGGCACGCATGGAAATCCAAACAACCATTGCACTTTGAAAAAGCGCGTGAACTCTCGTTGGGCTCGATTTGGGCTATAAAAGCGCACTCGTATTTGTTTTTATGAAGTAAACGCATCTAAATTGTACAACTGAGTTTTCAAACTGCTTCGACAGCATCTCTAGTTCGTCTTCATCCTATTACTAGGTTTGATATTCAAGAGGCGAACAGGTCCTAAATCATTACCGAAGTCTCCATGGTAAGGTGTCCACAAGAAGCTCCCGCAGCCAGTGACGTAGCCAGGATGTTATCAGTGGGGGCACCAGCATTTTCCGGAGAGAGGGGCACCGTCGGACCCCAAGCAACATTGCAGACGCTGTATATTCGATAGGGGGTGGGGGCTGGATTTATTTTAACAATACAATAAAGGGAACTCTTTGTTCACATTTCATAAAGCCGTGGGGGTCAAGAAGATTAGAATTGAGTAAAAAATAGTCATCTTCCCTCCCCTTCTTTTTCCTTGGCAAAGTTCAGGGGTTTTTTTTGTTAGGAGGGGGCACGGGGGGGGGGGGCACTGAGAATTTCTTTCGGGGCACGTGCCTCTCAAGGCCATCCCCTCCGCGGCTACGCGCCACTGCCGCAGCCGAAAGCAGAGGTTCGGAATATGTACCCAAATACAACAGATAGCTTGCCTTTAAAGCATAATATATCATTTGCTTTTCACTTTCGTTTCCAATAATGAGACCACCAACATTCAAAGAAATGCGTTCAAAACCAAGAAATGCGTGACAAACCATGCCTTTTGATCACGAAACAAGAATTCGTCAATAGAACTCTTTATTTCCAACCAACAATCAATTGACTGACCGTTGGAAATCACAACATTTCTTGATTTCTTCTAAACGACAGCAAGCCAGACGGAATATAAATTTCATAGGGTGTTTAGTACCAGTACGATGTTTAACCCAGGTAAGCTTTTTGATAACAATTTGTTAGGTTACTTTTGGGATAAATGCAAATGATCCTATATGCATTTTAGGTAACACACGTATTGCCTATGGAGTATGGAGACACCATATACGGAGATGCCGTGTAAAGAGACTTTGCCCTCAAATAAAAAGCCACTCGACATAGATCCTGTCCATTCATCAGTGACATTCATGATTATGTACTGATCATTTGTGTGTGTGAGTGGTATATTAACAGAGCGATTCTTTTCCAAGACCGTGTGACTTATGTTTCCTTAGTAAATCGGCCAAATCGTACTCCAACGCTGGCCCGTACCTTTCATCACACACGTTCTTAAGTCGCTATCTCGCCAGATCACGTCTTTATATATGATCAATTGGAGTTGAGCACATTTTTTGTGTGTTTGATCATGATCACCAGATCGCAATGTATTCAAGATGTGTTCGTTTTGTCCCCATAGATTTTAATGACTGCCTTTGACTGAGTACGTCCGTTAGAAATTCGAAACATACTAATTCACAAAATAGGACGTCGCACACGTTGTAATAACACGTCCTAAACGATGCGCCTGGAAGTCACGTATTTCCGCAAAATCTTGCCTTTTATTTTTTTAGGTCATGTTGCATTTACGCTCTATTGTCAAGATCCAGCCGTTTCCTGCGGCATAATTTCCAGTTCCTTGGCACATGCTTCCCACTTGTCTATCCGACCGAATGGCATGAAATAACAATGTCTCTGGTTCGTGTAATTCGGTTTGGAGTGCAGTTGCATCTTATTTATAGCGACCATCCTATCAACTAAGACGTGACGCCAAGTTAAGATTGCGACCGAAGATGTTGTGTATATTTGTGGTCTACTTAAAAGATCCCAAGCAAAACAGGGCAAACACGTGCGTGCATGATCTTGCATGAATAATACCTTATACTTGAAAATATCTGGATTGTCCCGGAATCTTCGTAGGGCTTATTAAAGCTCCAGACAGACTGAGTTACCGGCTTTATAGATTGCAGGTGCTGCCTGAGAATAATTGTGTGAACCTTTTACAAAAAAATACTGTTGAGTAGGGCCTACATATTACATACCAGCTAATTTCTTAAAGAAAAGGGTGCTTGTTTTTTTTTTGATGGCCAGATGTGGTTATTACATAATAATTTTCACTTTATTTGCAATTTTTTCAGTTGAACACAGAATTTGACTACAGTTGGACTTGAACCGGTGACGTCAGGCATACCCGTACCCTTGCTCATCATTTGCATAACATTATATGTAAATGTACAACATTTGCATCTTTGGTAATTTTATTTAAATGGACTGATTTTTTTTGGCTTGTTATTTATATCGTTCTACTGACCTGAAAAAAAAACACACGAAAAAAAAAGAAGCAAAACGAACAAATAAACGGTATTTGTATTCAATTGTCAAAGTGCAACTAGCTGAATCTATCTTCCATTAAGTCCACTTTTGTTTGCACAGTATGAAACCCTGTTAGTGCCATCAATAATGACTTATAACGAGTCAAAGTTATATTCTAAAGTTGGTTTTTCTGAGGCAGGTGATCAAAAAGACTGAGAAAAGTGTGCATTTAGCCTGCCATTCGACTTCAATCCGATAAGCCATTTTTATTACTTTTAGGCTACAATTTATACTTGATGGTATTAACAGGCTTTCTTCGTGTACCGTACCTTAGCATGTCACACACACATCCATAACTCTAAACATGTCGTAGATTCCAACAAGTAAAACAAGTGGGTACAAATGCACGTTTAGAAATGTGTTACATCTCTAAACACAGTTTTAACAGTGTACATGCGTATTACCAAGCTTACGCACGAGGTCAGCCGATGTAGTATGTGACGAAAAAATGTCCGTCTTTGAAGCGAAAGTTCGGTCCAAACCTACTAAGTATCAACACAAAAATTTCCAATTTCTTGAAATATGACAGCATACCAGGCACAACTATTTCACAGGATGCTTGATACTTACGTTTGCTTACAGCCAACTTGCCAAGTCAGCTATTTCATAATCATTTGTTTTGATTTTTTGAAAAACCCCACTTCATTTCAGTCTCTTGTTGCGTCGGCAGCGTTGATGCAATTCTTGTTTGTTTTTATTGCAACTATTTTCCGTTTGCCACTTTACTTGTTATTGACCGACCAAGAAGCGGGGAGATTCGGCTGTTTTTGCGGTAAAGGTAGGAACATGTCTGTTCAGGCGACAAGACAAATGTCACAGGGAGTTAATCAAGTCAAATACGCACTGATGACAATCATCGATTTTTTGTTCCGTCCCGTGTTTGCTTCTGTTGGATGGCATGATTCCCCACAACATCTGGCAGATGTAACGATGTGTAATTCTTGGACTTAGCCGCATTAATGTTTACTTTCTGTTTACCGTGATATCATGTATGTTTATACAGATATATGAAGATAAAGGGTGAGCCAAAATAAAACAAATCCAAACGGACAAACTAAATAAATATATCTTGTGTAGCATAACCTGACGTGACAAAGCAAATCTAGGGATGTTTTGAGGGAATACATATATTTATACTTTTGCAGAACAATGTTGAAACTGATGTCAGAACTTCTGCCATGGTAAATAATTCAAGACAGAATGTGGAACGAGAGATCCAACAATCCTCCTTGATCCATCTGTGGCGTCATCGGTCTCGTTGGATGAGAAATTTAATTTTGTAAAACCTCAGTCAGAAGAAAAGAGAGATCCAGCATGATTTCATCAACCGATTCCTTTGAAGCATTCTTGAAGCCATTAAGGGCTTTCTTCGTATAGATTTTCGAGCAAACTTTACAGTTATACAATTTTCTGCAGGACACCTTGACGCTGCAAGGACAGTTTACCACTTGGCCTTCAGTTAAAATATAATTTCGCTCTTTTAACTGAATCAAAAACTCGTGTTTGTTCCACTGTTTTACGGATAACAAGGCGAGAGAAAAGAGCGAAGGACGTGGAAATTTATATCAGGAATCTCTCTGCCGAGGCTGGGAGAACAGAAAGCCTGCGGGTGTTAGTCAGATTAAATTTAAATCAGCAAATACAGTTTCATTTTTGAAGTACGAAATAGTACGTCAGCGCCAATGGCAGTGCTTCACACACCTCTGTGCGTATAATGTGAGGTGACGCGAGTGGGCCGTATCAGATTAAACCACACCAATATAACTCTGACAGATGTCTTTATTATCACAGCCAATCATGCACGGTGTTCAACACGCACACCCGCCGCCACGTGTTTGTGTGGAGCGATTTGATTTAACGTACGAGGGGCGGACCAAGCCACGCGTAACCAATCACAGCCCAGCTTTACGGCAGTCACCGTGAAACGCGTGTACGCGCGCATCACTGAACTCTTGCTATCTACGGGAGATAGCTCCCGTGTACATGTACATCACATCACTCACTCCTCGGTATACCTGATTCACATGGATCGCATGTGTTGGGAGCCGAATAGCAATCCTGATAGATGGTATTTGGTTAATGCAGCACATTTCCTCTGTCCTGCTGTACAAGTCTTTCCTGCACGAAACTGACTGCGAAGAACAAACATCTTGAAGAGCCTGGTCCAAATGCACCGGTCTTTAAAGGAAGTTGTTTGCATAAAAGACGCTGAGCTCTTTGTTTTGTATGCAGTAAGAAACTCTGACGTACACCGCGGACAAGTGATATCTGACGCTGTTGTCAATCTCCAGGCATCGTGGAAGTGAAACGCAACCCGACAATCGATTTGACCAGTGCTTTGAATCCAGATCAACTTCTTTGGGGAAAGAGAAGCAGATTGAAATGTGTTGCAGATTGGTGTACGACGTTAAGATGTAGGGATCAATCGACATAATTGAAACTAAAAAGTACTTCAAAAACTCAAATTCTAAGGATTCATAAAGGCCTTTTCCCGATTTTTTTTACATTCGGAAAGAGATAAGCACTGCCAATCTCAGTTCTACTGAACCAATTTATTTCTCACATTTTGATTCCGTCTGTTGTCATACTTCCTTTTTTTCGACGGCTAATTTGGCATTCAACGGATCATTCACGTTGACGGCATCATATGCCGAATCTCGCTTTGTGAGTGCGCCGTTTTTACATCTGACAATCTCTAACTACGAGCAATCAAGGCAAAACCACTCAACACCGGAAAAGACAGACGGTCGCATTTTATTGAATCACGGAAACGTGTCAAGAAAAATAAATAAAAGAACGAGCAAGCCGTCAAAGCGTGTCCGTGTTTAATGAGCGGTGAATGGTTGCGTATTATGGACACGGCCTGAGAAACCTACGGTGATGATTGCAACTCTTGAACTGGAATCTCTGTTATTTTGTTGACTACACAAGTCCGTCCTACTTGCTGCATGACAAGATTTTCAGTTATCAACGCTTGGAAAGGCATCAGTTCTGGATGCTAAGCACAAAGTTAGCGGATTGACCAAGACTGAATTAAAGGAAACATTGTAGCTGTGAAAACTCTTGCGTGACAAGAATAAATACGAACTGCGGACCACAGCGTGATTGAGCTGCAGGAGAAGGAGTGGTGCGAAAAAGAACCGCCTGAATTGGTACCTACAATCTCCGAGGCGTTGTAGTAAACACGTTTCCTGTACTTGAGAAACTTTCCGTAGCCACAGACTTACTAGGGACGAACACATCGTCAGAAGTCCAATAATATTGATAGAGACGAAAGGCAACTGGACGTGAATCATGTCTTCGTCAAACGACAGCGACGGCATCGTTCCCCTCCCGACTATACAAGGCGCACCGCTGGAGGCTAGTCTCTTATCAATCGCTTCGGTGTTGACGGTATTCGGCAACCTGGGCACCTTAGCCGCATTTTGGGTAGACCGCAGTCTCCGACAGAAGCCTAGCAATCTGTTTCTGGTCAGCCTGTCAGCGGCTGACTTCCTGATGGGGTTGTTTGTACTTCCCCTCCGTGCTATGGAGACGGCTCTGGGGTACTGGCTGCTTGGAGAAGTTCCCTGTATGTTTCTGACATTCTTTGCCAACATCGCGTTGACAGTGGCCATCTATATGATTACTGCTATCAGCGTGGACAGGTTCCTGTTGGTTTCTAAAGACTATTCTCGATACCTTGCTATCGTGTCTCTGAAATCGGTGAGGATAACCATTCTTTCTCTTTGGGGTTTAGTCATCTTGAGCACAATCGTAGAGATGATTCTGTGGGGTACGGACGCGCTCCCGCCACCGTTCCCAGTCAACTTCTACTTCGCGTGCCTTCCACCGGTCAAACTCAATCAGCCATTCCTGATGGGGATCTTCGTCTTCGGGTTCTTCATCCCACTGACCATCATGACCGTATGCAGCCTGGGGTTCATGCTCCACCTGCGTAAGCGACTGAAAGGCAAGATCCATGCGGCGGGGGAGTTCAGCACGGCCGTGTCTGACACCTCCGGGACCGCCCGACGTACGGCCTGGACCACCGTGGCATCATCGGCTCCAACACGCGGGACGGTGGTCGCTACCCACGGCCTGGCACCGCCCGAACAGCCTGTCAACGACGGTGCCAGCACCGCATCCGGAGTCGAAGGCAACGGGACGGAGACCCGGGAGACTCGCCGCAGGACCGTGCTCAGAAACCGCTACCTCAAGCCGGCGATAACCATGGCAGCTCTCCTAGCCGTGTTCGTGGCTTGCACGCTCCCATATCTCCTCATCGCAGGCATCATCTCTCCTATTTGCCCAACTTGTTACACCTATCAGACTCGCGTCCACATTGCTAACCTAATGTTTGCTAATTCCTGCATCAACCCTATTTTGTATGCAGCCACACAGAGCAAAATAAGAGATTTTTATCGCACCCATGTATTTCGGATTTGCAGGAGACGTTAGTAAGGTCGAGCTCGTGATTTGTAAATTGCTGTAAATTGCGCAAGTATGTTTCTATATTATTCTGCTCATATTGATACACTTGTCAAACGTTGACGTCGCAAAAACGCACAAAAATTGCATTTAAATTCAGCACATATCCGTGAGTTATTTAATCCAGCGAACATTAAAAAAAGTAAAAAATGTAGATAAAGATAAGTAACACTAAGCTTTGAAGATATGAATAGAAGCATATTTCTTCTTTTCAGCACGTTTTGTAGAATCCTCGTTCAAATATAGTCCGAGCTTTCAGCCAAAAACAAATTGCCCATAGTAAAAAAATCAAATGCCCCTAGTACTTTTGAAATATCCCCAACGACATAGACATTTCCGTCCAATTCTATAGCGCACGAAACACGAAGGAAAAACAAGTCAGTCTTCAATGCCACATCTTGATCTTAGACGCATGACATATACGAGTAATCTCGATTTGACGATTATTCGCTTGACTTATTGCAATGACAAAATTTGGCCTTAAATGCACGATATTCTCCCGCTTGTCAAACCATACGAGTGAGAATTGAACTGCGAAACACACACGAGCCAAACCTAGTTATCTTATAAACGAAAATGATAACCTCATTTCCACCAGTGTATGAAACAATTTTATCCAACCGAAAGTAATTAAATCAGGGTTGACCTATTAACTGATTACAGGCCTAAAACGAGACCTGGAAATAAAATTATGGAAATGATTTTTTTGAATACGAGAACATATCTAATTATCACCATGTTTTCATACGTGTACTGATACATTTGCAGTTTTTCATTTCTTAAAATGCACGCTTATTTCAAACTATTTGTAGTCTTTAACATTGGTTTAAGTGTTTCGTGCTGTGATCAATTTTGCTTCCATTTATGTATCACTCGTATTTTTAAGTATACACACGTAAATCAAAATACTGACTGCTCCTTGTAAACCGACTCGAGATGTTTAGAACCCTCGGGAAAAATCGCGCCAATTGTTTTAGGCTTGGAGAATATATTACATAGACAGAATCCAATTTCACTGTAGACATGCATATAATCATCTCGACCGGATCGATTTGATCGATTGTAAGTTGCAGCAACATGAGTGCCCTGAGGAAGAACAGTTCTATGATAACTGATGGGGCTACCATCGTAAAATCTAACTAAAACATTGAGTTAGATTTGACTAGGAAACCGTCAATCTTGCACCATGCTGACTGCAGAAAGGGTCAGCTGCTGCTTTCTATAGTTAAATTTAACTAGAGTGTTTGCGGAGTGTATAACTACAAAAAAAACCAATTCATGAGAGCTTAATTAGGTTTCGAAAAATGATGCCTAGTGGAGACCCGGGTATAATACGGGAAAAAAGATTGTAAAGGTCTCTACAAGGCAATTTCTAAAGGTGAATAGGTCTCCCGACGATTTCACGAAATAGATATATGGATTTTACTCAAAACTAGGAATTTCCAATTATCAGTCGCAAATTAAAGTGTTTTGTGTAATTTCAACCAGGACAGTATTTCTGATTAAAATAGGAGCATTTTGAAAATAGCTTTCGACCCTTGCGCGATTTTGTAAACGAGAACAAAGCGATGTCTCCACAAGGATACAAACCTGAGTATGTGTGGTCTGCTAGGAGTTCAGTTAAATTTCCACTCTCGCGACATATCTTGAATCTCTTTTCTTGGTTTCTCTTCTGTTAAATTACACTGAAGCTTCATAGTTGTTATCTATACGTCATGCTCGATGGCGGAATTCTTTACGACAGAGTAGTTCCGCCATGCGCTATATGTTTTTATTCCCACGACAATATACATAGCTCTTGCGCAGGAAACGTGACCTAATCCTTCCGGCTCGGCGGAAGCAGAACTGACGTTTAACCTATATTCAGTGACACATTTTGACAAGATTGTGATTGGGAAAGTGGTATTTTGTTTTAAATCCTAGAGGCTTTACCCGCAAGGCGCAGCTCCTCAAAGTTCAAGTCCCTGAAGTCCATGGTAAAGAAAGGCTAATATAATGTGTGAGATCAAACTGCGTAAGTTTTAATATGAGTCTATATATCTGTGTGTACAGAAGAAACAAAAACCGTTTAGGTAACTTTTCATTGTTCAATTACACTTGAGGATTTTTCGAGGAATTTCGATATATAACACTTTGTTTAATCAACTAAAGGTATGTCTATATAATCATGAATTAGTCTTGAAGTCGTGTACACCATGCGTTTATATAAAAAACGATCGTAATTAGCTTTATGCTATTTTCTGATACATTGCTGTAGTTTTCTTTTAATATGGCACCGGTATCTTATTCCATTAGACAAGTGCCCAAAATAATCTTAACTTTTATGACCCCTAGCCTTACCTAATGTTAAATCCTACCCTCACCAAACTTTGTAAATTTGGGTTTTTTTCGCCACAAGGAATCGATTTAGCCTATTTGGGTACATTTTTGCCCAGAAAAAGGACTTGAAACATATTGAAATGTCTCCCTAATCTACGTTGACTCCCTAAGTTATAACTTGTGATGATAACGTGTCTGCTCAAGGGTACACCAGAATTACATTATTTAATATCTTTAAAAAAAAATAACAAAACAGTGCCCCTATTCTATCAGAGCTCAATTATGTTCAAAACGACGGACTATTAATCCATGACATTGGTGATGAAATATAGCAAAAGATATGCATCAAAAATCCAGTTAAAAATTTAATTACTTAGGCCATCAGCCTGGCGATTTGGTTGGTATCAAATGAGGGGAATAATGGTCATTGTGATTTTTGGCAAGGTATGCAACCCTGTAGTTGGAAAAAAAAGGTGATATCATTGCAGTGATGGCAGCTTTTTTTGTAGCTATCACTTTTTTTTTAAATGGCAGCCAAAACATGCTTGTCACCACATATAATTAATCCGGTTCAGGCATATTGGCGGCCATGTTGAAAAAAATATATAAAAATTGATAACACCCAAAAACTTCCACAGCTCACACTGCAAAGCTATCACACATTTCCGACTCTAGATGTGCATACCTTGCCAACAATCGCTTTGCGCATAGCTCCTTTCGATCATGTGATACCGGTGGTCCAATTTTTGGACCGAAGCTTATAGCCTAACTTTACATTTGTTCTTTCATGATTTGTCATAAAAGTAAACCCTGAAAATCGTGAAACATATTAAAAGTAAGAATGTTCTATTTTTTTGCCCTTTTTATATCCATTATAAATTGCATGATATAAATATATCACGTTGTTTCAAAGTTGAACTTTCAACTTTCGAAACCAATTCCAATATGATATTTTTTATTAATACTTTGACTAAAACTAAACTTCTTTCTTTTTCCATTATATATCTTATTTGTTTTCACTGTAAAAATGTAAATTAACAGTTGTCCTTTCGTTTTGAAAATTAAACAAAAACATATATACAATAGCATATCGTGGGTTTTTCCTTTTTGTAAATATTTTTGGGGTGAATACTCAAAATTTGCATGATACACCTTTCCGTTTAGGTCTATAGTAATTCGGTTGAAAAAAAAAAACCCAGTACAATCTGAAATGTAGTACAAACTACAGTATAAAATCTTCTGTTTTAGAGTTCAAGGGAAAATGCTAGGGTCTGAAGTGCAAAAATAACAGGCCAACCTCCGCATATGAAAACAGAAATATCTACACTGATATTTTAAAGTGTGTTTTTCCTTACCAGCCAACCAGTAACGACTAATACATATGCCTCATTATGTTATAGGCAACTGATCTATGGCAGTAGACCTATACACTTACATGTATTACTGTCTTTATATTGCCGGCAGCATGAGTTGCTCGAGTCTTTGATAATGAATTGCCATTGAAATCAATGTTCGAATAAGAAGCGCCGACCTGCCTCTTTTGATGGAACAATAATGGACGATTTCAGACTTCCAAGGCTGTGGCTTCATTATTGCATCACTGATTTGGTCATAATGTCGAGCCTTATAATAATACGGATACCCAAGTAGTAATCGATCCTGGCACATGATGTCTGCGACATATCGTTCGGTAAGGATGCAAACTCCAAGATATCAACTTTTTAGGAAGTCTTCAATTAAATTTATCGTTTGTAAATTGATTGCCATGCCAACCGATGATAAACAGCACTTATCTAGATGAGGGAATAACTTAGCCCGTATGAGGATTCCGTCTAGTACCAGTGCGTTAATTAATGGTGCATTGCGACGGAGTACACGGTTAGTATACACGTAACAGATAGCTCACCTATACGGAATAACCATATGCATAGGCGTCGCCAGGATTTTTTCTTGTGGGGGAAAGCACATTATTTTCCCAAATCGTTGTACTTTCTCTCGCATATTCTCAATTGATCATTTTTTTTTTCGAGGGTGGGCGGGGGACATTTGCCAATGCACCCAACCCCCATTGACAACCATGCGGACGCCCGTGTTGTTAATGTGCATTAAGTTAACAGCAATATGACTTAAGTTCGCACATGCTATTTTTCTTCTTCCTTTCCCCCCTCCTTTTTTTTTGGGGGGGGGGGAGGATGGGAGGGGGGGGGGGGGCTCCCCTTGCTCCCCCGCTTTCGCGACGCCCATGCATATACATCAGATGCACTTTCATCGGGTGACACGCCGTTGAATAATATTCTACAGTTTTGTTAAAACTGTAACGAGTCCAAGGTTTGCGAATGTTCGTGACTTTTCAAATAGTGCAAAATTAGCAGGCACAAAGCAGTATCAGAGCTTAATGTACGTATTAGCTGAAACCGCACAGTGCATGTCACCTGTCCAATTAGTGAAATTCAATTTTGACAATCATGTAATTTTACTTAACGAACTCCTGCGGTATTTTGCGTTTGAGACCGACTCCCCTTTAACTAGATTGTACTTCCATTAACTCCTTTTGAAAAGAACTTCGCTTCGTGGTTATGCCAAAGAATTTCAAAAGTATTCTCTCTTGAATGAGGTCAACATTTGATTTCCGTCCCTTCGTCATGTAAAGGTTTTATGCAATGACATTTTTGAAATAGACATTATAAAAGTAATGCATTTTAATATAAATTGACGGCAGAAACGAAAAAAAATAATTCGATCATAGCTTTGATGTTTGTATAACCATTATCTGCACCAAATCCAAGCATATAGATATTTTAACAAAAGACACCGATTTTCTTT